GTGATATACATAAGTCGCCTGAAAAACACTATAATTTTTATACACAACTTAAAACACATTCATTGATTTTTAAATTGTATTGATTACAGTTACATGAGGGTACTATCGTTTCGGAAATACCATAAATCATGAAGTGCTTAAAACGTACCTGCTTTAAACGAATTTTTGTTGCGATTATTTCCTATTTAGCAAACAGAACAAGCAAGTATTACCATTAAGAAATGATGAGTTATATGTAAAGATTATAGCATTTTATAAGCTCTACATTTTTATAAAATGTATAAATTTCAATCGTATAGTTTTGAGTTTATTTGTCGTTATTGTTAAATATTTTTCAAATATTTGTATAGTTATTCCACTGCTCTGGTAGGTATAAGGCCAACAATTTAAAGAGTTTATGAAGAAAAAAAATATCATCGTTCTTTTATGTTTTAAGTAATTTACATCTAAAAATATATAAAAATATATTTATATAAATAAATTTTGGAGTTTTATTTTGATGTTTCCAAAAAAAATTGCCAAAAGAAGGATACATACCTTCCACATTGCCATTTAAAAGGGTAGTGAGCTAAATAACGAACAAAAAATCAAAATAAATTTTAAATTGAAAAATTTTTTATATGTTAATGCATCAATCTCTAAGCATATTTTCCTTTTATTACAAATCTTTACAGAAAACATGTTTATATCCAAGAAAATATTGGATATTTTGAATAATAAGTGTTTAGAATTAATACAAAATATCTTCGACAAATAAATTCAAATGGTGAAAGTTGCAAAAAAAGGTGTTTGATAAAAAGAAATCGTTCAAAAATCGTATAGTGTCTTTAAAGTGTTAAAATGTTTAAATTAATCTAGGTTTGAAAAAAAAATCAAAGCAAAGAATGTCTTTTAAATTATTAATCTACAAAAATAACATTTTTAATTATAAAAGATCAACACATCACTATGCAAAAAATTATTTTTTAAAGTTTAGTTAGAGCCTAAAAGGAAGCAACCAAATGTCTTTAATTGTTCATTTCTATCGTAATATACGAAAATAAAAATAAAAAAATATTAAGCAAACGAAAAAGACCTATTTCTCAATAGTTTTTTTTCCAAACTAAAAAATAATTTAAATTAAGAAAAAACATACGAATTATATCGAAGTTAACTCGATTCAAGGAATTTGGAAAATTTTTCAACTTCATAGATGTTTAAAGGAAAATGAACTGCAAAAATGTGAAAGTATCTTAAAAAATGTATCATAAAAGTGTATTTTTAAATTTACGTTCACAATTCCAAAAAAAAAATGTATATTATATATATATATATATATATATATATATATATATGTATATATATGATACAGCCGACTTTATAATTTTACCACAAATAAATTTAATTTACTCAGAAAATTTTTCTTTGTAATATTCGCAAAAAAATCTAAATTTAAATATTTTTCACTTTTGCGAAAATGAAAATCTAAATAATAACTTAAAATAGCCTACAATGTGGTTGCATTTAAAACAAAACGCTATCGTAACTATGACTTCAATAATACTTTATGGAAAGTTTAAGTACGGTAGGGTTCAGAGTATATCTATTATTAACTAATTTGACTCTCCGTTTACATCACACTAATACAACCACTCACCAATATTTGTATATAAAAAATTCCCTTAGCTAAAAGAGTTAAGCAGTATACCTTCTTATTTTCATTTTTAACCACAAAAGAATTTTTGGGAGAGGGAAAGAGTACGCAATAGATGTCTACCTGTTTTTTGGAAGTGTTTGGGATGTAATTTTGTGAGTAAGGAGAAAAAGCCGACACGAAAATTTCATTTGTACATATTTATTTCTCCTCATAAGATGAGGAGAAATAAATATGTACTTTTAAAAATATTTTAATTTTTTATTTTTAAGCATTTGTAATTAATAATTATTAATAAATAAAATAAATAAACTATCTTTAAATTTTTTATTTTTATTTCAATCTTAATAAATTTAAAACATATTTCTTATGAATACACCTTTATTTCTTTATAAATTACTTTACTTCTATGTCACTACCTGATACTGTGTAGCTATTGTACTGTGTAGTACAGGTACAAGCAAGTGTACATTCATACATGAAATTTTAAACTCTTGTTTTCATACATTCGAATTTTTTACCAAACTTTAATAAGATGAAAAATAAATTTTGTTTTTATTGAAATAAAAATAACAAAACTTTTACCTAACTTAATTTAATTTTAAATCAGTTCAATGTTTTTGATACACTCGTTTGTTTGCAATATTTTGTTTCTTTCTTGCCTACACAACTCTTATTACCATCTATTTCTAAATAAAAGTGGAATATTTTAAGAACTTTGGAAGCAAAATGCAAACGAAAACTAACGGAATGGAACGAATTGAACTACTTATTAGTAGATATACTTTGGGAAGGGTTAAGTATTAATACGATTGTTGTACTAATGTCTTTACATCTAACAAGTCCCAATACTCAGTTTTTTTTACGAAATATTACGAATTTTTGGCTTCGTTCCTGTTTTTTATTTAAATGCCACTGATCGTGTCATATTTCTTATTAATTTTTTCTTTTTTTTAAGTAAAAAAGAGTTTAATATTTTAAAAATCTCAGGATATTATACACATTTTTTAAAAAGCTTCTCATTTAAATTCCATTGCACGAAAAAGAAACAAGAAAGAAAAAATGAAAAAAATTTTCAAATTCATATTTCAGTATGGTTTCAAATGTTAATGAGGAAGGATGGATGATTTTTCATGCACATTTTGTATTTCCCAATAAGGTAAGTTGAGTAGTGTCGGCTAACAAAAATGCTAATAAAAGTAATAGAGGTTGACACATTTCAACAATTTGAATTATCTCATTTCGATTATTTATACGTTACTTATAAAATTGTTTCAAATTATTTTTGTTAGTTTTTAAGTTATTAAAAATAAATATGTATATACCTACTTCCAATCAATTTTTTTTAAATAAATCTTTTAAAACTATTTCAAACATGTTATATTGAGTGCCTCAAAAATTTTGTTGTGCTCTTCTTTCATATTTTATTAGCAGGTAAACAAGAGCAATCTATTTATAAATTGGTCCTACCTGTGTATGAATCTTAATAGTAAACGCAACCGGACAAAAATTTATATCAGTACCTACTGCCTTTTATTTTACTATCGGATTTTTGAGTCATTTGCTAAGATAATATTTATTTCAAAAATAAAAAAGATATTCGAATCCGGTCATAAAAATATATTATTGTCTTTTCCAAAACCTTTTAAATATTTTTTTACTTAGGTAATATGTTAAGTTTTAAAGATTTTTTCTCAAAAATAGAGGTAAAATTTAGAAGTGTATATAACATTTGTATTTAGAAATAAATATTTGCTTGTATTTTTGATATTATTTTCTAATTCCCTCTTCAAATTTTTTCTTTACTATTTATTCATATCATATTTAATAATTATCTTTCATTAATTATATTTTCAACTTGACACTACAGTTACTTCCCATATCTTGAGTTAATTTACCCTATGAGAAAAAAAAACTGTTCACTTAAAAAAAATGAAAATGCTTTCAATAACATAATATAAAACGTTAAAGACGAAGGTTGTGCTTGTTGTTTTTCCGCTGATTCAAAAATTTTAAAATAATAATGAATAAAAATATTAATATATTTTCTTGATTTTTCAAATATATTTTCTAAATTTTACCTGCAATATAATAAGTGTGAATTTATTTTAATATGTGTTCTCAAAAAATAGCCACTTCGATTTAAAAAACCCATATAAAATAAGGTCGTGCTTTGAAGTTTCTGTCTTAGCATTGGGACTTGTTAGATATGAAGACAGTTATACCGTCTCAGAGTTTTCAAAACCTTTTTCAATACCTTTGCATTGTAAGAGAAACTGCTAAAGCTTTTGATACATTTTGCAATACAATTTTTACAATATTAATACATACTTTGACGTTTGTTTGAAAATTTGAGTTCAAAGTTCTGTGCAAATGTTAATTTTCAACAAATCATTAAACACATAGTCCGTGACTTCAATAATCCGCTAACGACTTAAATTTCACAAAGTATCAAATTCCAAAAAGTTTTTTAAAAGCTCTTGACAATGTATACTTTTCTTAAATGCGTTTTATACGTAATGGAGACGTAAAATAAAAGTAAATCGGGTATTGAAAAAATCGAGTACGCTTTTCTTATACCTCGTCATATAAACGTTGCCAGAAATAACCGCTAAAATAAACTAGCATATATTTTCAGCAATAAAGTGCTAGTTCTCAAGTTTTTTTCCTAAAATGCAGCATAAAAATGTTATGTTTTTGATCATGTGGTAACGTTTTATAAAAATGAACATTTTCACAGAACTTTAAATTGAAATTTTCAAACAAAGGTCAAAGTAGTATTGATATGGTGAAAATTGTATTCCAAAATGTATTAAAAGCTTTAGTCGTTTTTTTTACAATATAAAAGTATTGAAAGCTCTGAGACGGTACTACAACCGTGTAAATACCGTGAATGTCTTTACGTTTAACAAGTCCCAATACTCAATTTTCTTAACGAAATATTACGAATTTTTGGCTTCGTTCCTCTTTTTTTCTTTAAATGCCACTGATCGTATCATATTTCTTATTACTTTTTTCTTTTTTTACGTATAAAAGAGTTTAATATTTTAAAAAATCTCAGCAAATTATACACATTTTTTAAAAGCTTCCTATTTAAATTCCCGGCGGATTGGGCTACGAAATATCCGCAGTAAGGTACGCTTGTGGTAAGAGTCCACTAAAATCCAAACGAAAATCCAGACGCGACGGACTCACATTGAGCGACTCTCTGGTCTGCGACTGATCCCTGAGGGACGGCAGAAATTATATGTGCTGCCTTGCACGAGGGAATTATTCTTAAAGGCTACGAGAAGAAAACTCCGAAATAAAACAAACAAATGCAATGAACAAAACACAAGGATTGAATACCCCAGGTGGTAATCCAGTAATGCTGGAAAATCCCCACCCTTCGGAGGCTGGTCTCATGGTTTCGCGGGGAGACCACTTATTGCATAATAGATCGGCGTTGATGGACCCATTTAGAAGGAGATCGGGGGTCATGCGATCACCCCCATTGGTGATTGCAGAGAAAAAGGACAAAGTTAAGGATGATAACTCTGAGAAAAAGTCTAATAAGTTTGCGGAAGACAAAAAAATGAAAACCCAAGAGGGTAACATGAAAAGGCATCTCATACAGGAGAATAAATTGGATTCTCAGGACTCGAGAATAACCGAGTTGGAGAGTCTTTGTAAGGTGCTACAAAACGAGATCTGCAAATTACAGGCAGAGAATGTAGATTTAAAAAATCAAATAAAATCTGCATCAACAGAAAAGAAAAACGAAGATGCGGAAGTTATCGTATATGAAACCGACGAGGAAGAACTGGCAAGAGAAACTGACTGGATCCTAAAACAGAATACTGCAAAGAAGCGAAAAATGGAAAAGTCTCCTGAAATAAATTCAGAGACGACAGTTAATAAAAATAATGAAACCAGCCCTAAAATGAAGGCTGAGAATCCAAAAAACCACAAGCCTCCTCCGGTTATATTGGGCAACATTAAGAACTACTCCCACATAGTTAAGATATTAAAGGAAGAAAGAATAAACGTTAGGGTCAATATGATGAATAATGACCAATTAAAAATAAATGTGGAAAATGAAAATGAATACAGATTACTAACAAAAGCTATAAATAAGGCTGGACTGGAGTGGCACACGTATGAGAATAAACTGACGAGGCCAGTTAAAATTATGGCTAGAAATCTCCATCCATCGTGTGAGCCAGAGGATATAAAAAAAAAGCTTATTAGCAAAGGCTTTAAGGATAACTTTCAGCCCAAATGTGCGAACTGCAATGAGGCACACCCTGCTAGCTATCGAGACCTACCCTAAAAAATCACCTAAACTTCGATTTAAAAAAACCCATATAAAATAAGGTCGCGCTTTGAATTTTCTCTATTAGTATTGGGACTTGTTAGATATAAAGACATTAATACCGTAATTAAATCTTTTTTAAAGCATTATTGAAGTCACGGACACTTGTTTAATAGAATTAAAAATTTTGTAACACAGTTTTCATTATATAAGTTTTTTCAAAATTTGGTTACTGTACGAATATAAGTGGAACCCACTGCCCATACTCAACTAAAAAAATATTTGTTAATATTATGTTTGTACAACCAGTATGAAATACGCATTTTTCGTATGTTTTTAAGCACATTTAACACGTTTTACTGGCGAAACTATGAGAAGTAAGAAAATTTTATAGGGTTAATTTTTAGCGCATTGAAAAAAGCAAAAAAAAAAATAACAAAAATTTTCGAGAAATTTCAAGTTTTAAAAAAAAAAAATAAAAAAAAAATAAAAATTCTGACTTTGATGAGTTCTCGAAAACAAATTAAAATCAAATTAATTGTAAGACCAAAAATAAAGAACAATCAATCGCCTGTAAAACAGTAGCCGCCGATGGTTACTCTATATCACATGGCTCCGAAGTTATAAGGATTTATTTATATGCAGGAGAAATTTGGTCGTTTTTTTTCAACAGGGTGTAGCTCGAAAACGAGTATGCCTGCATTTTCATATGCCCAATTCATATAATTTTTTGCTAGAAATTGTTCAAAGAATCATCCCTGAAATTACTTGGCCCCTTATGCGAAACACCGTATATAGTTTTGATCATTGAAATAGAAATATTGAAGGAAGAAGCATCTTGAAAAACTTTAAAGCCATTTTTCCTGGTTGCCTCTTTCTTTGTTCTGAGTATTGTCAAACTCGTAACGTGGGCGTATATTTTTTTTATACCGGGTCTCCACTAAAAAATATGTGGAATATCCGTGACTTCAACAATGCGCTTATGACGTAAATTTTACAAAGTATCAAATTCCAAAAAGCTTAGTAATTAAGTTTTTAGTTTAACGCTAGTTATTAAGTTTTGTTTCTAAAATGCACCATAAAACTGCAATGTTTTTAATGACTTGGTAACGTTTGTTAAAAACTAACATTTGCACATAACTTTAAATTGAGCTTTTAAAACAAACGTCAAAGTAATGTCTTTACATCTAACAAGTCCCAATACTCAATTTTTTTTACGAAATATTACAAAGTTTTGGCTTCATTCCTGTTTTTTCTTTAAATGCCACTGCACGTGTCATATTTCTTATTTTTTTTTTATTTTTTTTACGTAAAAGAATTTAATATTTTAAAAAATCTCAGGATATTATACACATTTTTTAAAAAGCTTCCCATTTAAACTCTATTGCATGAAGAAGAAAGAAAGGTAGGAGGAAAGAAAAAATGATAAAAAATTTCAAATTCATATTTCAGTATGGTTTCAAATGTTAATGAGGAAGGATGTATGATTTTTCATGCACATTTAGTATTTTCCAATAAGGTAAGTTGAGTAGTGTCGGCTTATAAAAATGTTAATAAAAGTAATATAGGTTGACACATTTCAACAATTTAAATTATCTCATTTCGGTTATTTATAGGTTACTTATAAAATTGTTTCAAATAATTTCAGTTAGCTTTTAAGTTATTAAAAATAAATGTGTATGTGGGATCTCTGTACAAGTTAATTCAGAAAGTGCAGTTACTATTTCGTATATTATGTTCTCTTTCTATTTAATCTAATAATTTTCATGCTTTTCTAAATTTGCCTTTGTTTAAATTTTGTTAGTAACGAATTCGGCGTGGTCAAGTAAAGTAAAGTAAACTAAATTTTTTTTAGAATTTCGAAACTTAATGCATTTAATGCACTTTATTTAATTAATTACTGAATAGTCATTTTGAAAGTTAATTATTCTTTTTAAAAAATACTTTTGCTTATTATCTTATATCTCTTGATAATCAGAATACTTTATGAATAAAATATTATAAAAATACATTTAATTATGTATATTTTATTTGAACATTTATGAAATACCCACAAAATGGTGTTAGAAGTAACCAGTCAGAAGTAGGACCATTCCGCAGTGTAAAAGGTGTCAAAGGTATGGGCATACACAAAAATTTTTCCAGAGAGAACCGAATTGTGTTAAATGTGCAGGCAGGCACTTAACATCAGATTGTAGTAAGCCAAAGAGTACTGCACCAAAGCGTTCCAATTGCTTGGAGGCCCACCGCTTTTCTTTTTTTACTGGACCTCTTTTGTTTTAGGATCCAATCTGTTTCTCTGGCGAATTCTTCCTCATCTGTTGAGTAGGCGTCCAAGATTGACTTCACCTACTTTGCTTTTGGTGTAGCGTCTTTTTCTTTATGACTACTATCATTAGACTTATTGTTTGTAATTTGCACATGTTTCTCTTTCTTTAGCTTCTCATTTTTAGCCCTCAGTTGAAGAACCTCGTTTTTCAAAACCACACAGAGCTGTTCTAGTTTGCTAATGCTTTTATGTATGTCAGCATTCTGATCATCATTTTTTTTGGCTTGAGTTTTACTCATGTTTATATCCTTATTGGTCTGTGGAGCATGAGTGTTCGGTAGTCCATCTTCTATATCTTATTCTCTTCTAAAATCCGCACATCAGATGTAGGTGGTGAACGCCGGGTTTTCGCATTTCTCCTGAACGAATCAAATGCAATAAATGGCTCTCCTCAGAATCCGTAGAGCCGACCTCCGAAGAGGGTGGATTCTCCAACGTAGTTGAATTACCACCTGGGGTAAAAACACGGCGAAGTATTTGGGAATGACTTTGGACGCAAAGCTCAGATGGAAGGAGCACATAAAGAAAAAGAGATCTCAACTTGAGGAGGAATACAGAAAGTTTGAATGGCTTTTGGGAAGGCGTTCTAAGTTGACAATAATCAAATATTTAAGCCTGTCTGGGCTTACGGTATTCAGTTATGGGGCTGCGCAGCGCAGACTTTGGTGTAATCAGTTATGGGGCTGCGCAGCAAGATAGATATTTGTCAACAAAATATAACTTAAAAACAGATTTGATTTCCCGGCTGTATCAAGCGCTTCTTAAAGAGGGTTTGAATCCACACGAAATAAGCAGAATTAATTCGGTTGATTAAAAAATGTAAGCGACGTTACCGTTTCAGAAAAGACAAAAGAGGATAAGAAAGGTAACAAAGCAAGTAAATTTTTTCACAATAAAGAAGAAAGTAAGGAAAGTGATAACGAAGGTAAAGCAAGTAATGAAAAGGAAAGGAACGAAAAGCATAAGAATAGTGAAGTCGAGAAAAGTACACATGAAATAGGTATGGCCAAACAGAATCAATTTGCCTTCAGAGACGTTAAAGATGCCCTTGAAAAATTTTCGAGAGAATCACGAAAAAAGCCGAAAATACACTTCATTCATTACTCCAGATGGACAATTTGAATTTGTGAAAGTTCCTTTCGGACTTTGCAATTCACCTTCAATTTTCCAGCGATTTATCAACACTGTTTTTAAAACTTTAATTCAAGCAAATTTAGTAATGGTATATATAGATGACCTCATAATTCCAACCCAAAACGGAGAAGAAAACATAGAAATACTTCAAAACGTACTAAACATAGCAAAATCAAATGGCCTAATATTTAAATGAGAAAAATGTGTATTTTTAAGTAAGCAAATAAAATTTCTTGGGCATGTAATCGAAAACGGTTTTATCAAACCATCGCAAGAAAAAATTAACGCAGTCAAATCATTTCCTGTTCCAAAATCTATTAAAAATGTTCAGAGTTTTCTTGGATTGACGAGTTATTTAACGAAATTCATTAAAAGTTTTGCAATTATTACTAAACCATTATCCGACCTTTTGAAGAAAAACTCAGTTTACGAATTTGAGGAAGTACAACTGACATTTTTTTACACATTAAAAGAATTACTTTGTAAAAAACCGGTTTTGAAATTATTTAATCCCGATTTGGACACTGAGCTTCACACGGATGGTTACGGCGGTATTTTCTTACAAAAGCATAACGCTGATTTTCATCCTGTATTCTATTTAAGTTTCAAAACTTCTTCGGCACAAAAGAACTACACTAGCTATGAACACGAAGTTTTAGCCATTGTAAGATGCTTGGAAAAGTTAAGACCATACTTACTAGGTTTAAAATTTACAATATACACTGATTGCAAGACTTTTCAAGCCACTATGAATAAAAAGAATATTTGCACCAGGATTGCCAGATGGGCTATAATGATGCAGGAATTTGATTGTATTGCTCTTCATAAATCAGCAACCTCAATGCGACATGTTGACGCGCTAAGAAGATGCTCGCTGTAATGAAAATTGAATCAGGTATTGTTTAAAGATTAGAAATATCTCAAAAGAATAATGAATTTTGCAAATTGATATCAACCATTCTTGAAAAGCAACAATATGGCGACTTTTTTATGAAAAATAATATTTTATAGAAGTTTTCAAATGGCTTAAATCTACTAGCAGTTCCTAAATGCTTAGAGCATGAGTTAATACATGATGTGCATAATAGAGGACACATAATTGTATTGCTTGTATTTCAGCGTCAAGAAAAAGTGGAAAACAAGAAGGTTATCTAAACCCAATAGATAAAGGACAAACACCACTAAATACATGTCATATTGATCATGCTGGCCCATTAGCAGCAACAGCTAAGAACTATAAATATCTTTTTGTAACAGATGCTTTTACCAAATTTTGTTGGATTTATGCTGTGAAGTCTACAACAACAGATGAAGTATTATAAGATGTTGAATAATTTTGCTTATCATCTTATATCTTTTGATAATCATACTAAAACTTAAACGCATTATTGAAGTTGCGGACATATTTGAGATAACAGGATGTGATAGAATTTCTAACACATTAACGCAAGCAGGGTTGCCAAACCAGTAGCAATTATCCAATAAAACTTTTTATGCAATCGGTAAAATCTCGGGTAATTTTTTTTTTTTAATTCGTTTTCAAAAATTATGTATTTTAGGGTAATCAGTCAAAATTTAAAGTTTTAAAAATTTAAAACTTTGTTTCAAAAAAATATTTTTTACAAATTTTTTATCATAATTATATTCTACAACTTTCTATTCTTATGAAAGCAAAAAACTATTTTTTAAATTTTGTTCGCAAATACTAAGGGCCTGATCGTCTAACTCACTATTTCACTCATCTTTTATTCACTTTCAACTATTCAGAATTATCCGTTTTTCTAATGGATATTTCATTTTTCCCAAAGATTACTCATTTTTCCAATTGAATTTTTGCATTTTTTCTCTTATCATCGACTAACGCCTAACTTTCAAAAACAAAGTGAATGAATTTTTTATACATTTAAAGAAAATGAGATACGCAATACCGAATAATTTTTCTTACTCGAAAATTACGTTATACAAATAAATGCAAGTTACTCACTTTCTTCTCACTTGTCGATTAAAATAGCGAGATAGACGGTTAGGCTTTAATAATTATATATTAATGTTGAGTTATGCTGTTTATCCACTTTTAATTTATTCCTTCGAAACGTTAAAAACTTTGGTATCAACATAACCACTCATACTTAACTTAATCCTGTAACTCGAGGCTTATTGTGGAATTTTGCATTTTCTATTTGGCAATTCTGAACGCGGGTGAAAGAATAAGGGTGCAAAAAATTAGTCTCAAATTTTCAGTACAAAATTTTTTTTAAGTGTTAAAAGTTTATGAAATGTGTATAAACATGTTAATACGTGCATACATATGTATGTATTTAAAAGTATTTTAAAAAGAAGGACCTTTAAAAAGTATCCATTAAATGTCAACGCATAACTTTATTTATATATATGTATATATACATACATATATGTATGTACATTTTTGTATATATTTATACATACATATTTATATATGCATATATGTACATACATATTTATGCATAAATTTATACTTAATTGATTTTTTTTTGTGTAAAATTATGCTGATTATTCATAGAAAAAAACCCTAATTAACGTTTCAATGAACTCAAACGATAAGCTCAATGTTGTCCTATATAATTATGGCTTATGTCGAAATAAATCACAAATGAGTTCAGTGACGATGCTGTGGTGGCGGCATTAAGTCGTTGTCGTCTCGGAAACGATATTTTTCTATGTATTCCAGCAAAATTTCCTTTGTAACTGGGCACGTTATACTGTTTAGTACCGCTAAAAATCGGGTTAAAATTTCACAAAATTACAAAATAAAATAAACATTTGTCTTACATTTAGCAGTGTCAAAACTATTAGGGAAAGTTTTATCTGTACGTTGTCGCATAAATTTCCATTGCTTAGTTCGAAAATCTAGTGAGCATTCAATTATTTTATTATCTAAATCTTTTAATTCCTTTGTGTATTTTATTTTACTGAAATGTCCAGTCAATCCACTAACATATAAAAGTCCCACCTTTGCACGTAATATTCTAAAAAAAATTTAATATCTAAATTTATCAATGTTTTATCTTTTATGTATAAATGTTTTTTTCTATTATGTATAAATGTTTTTTTCTTTTATGTATCAATGTTTACATTAATTTATTAAATTTAAATGTTTTTTTTTATATATTCCTGAAGTTTAAAAATTAATAAATTGAAATTAAAGACATTTTGTAGTTTCTGAATACTTTAAGGGACATAGGGGCTCAGAAGCAGAGTGGCGTAAGCCACAATGTGGGTTATGCCACTTTACTTTTGAAAAATCATAAAAATTTTACGAAAACAAAAGTACTTTTGTGAAAAATAAATAGGAAAAAGACTATTTCGAAACTGGAAACTAATATCACTGATTCTAGAAGATGTACATAACCGATTGCAGGAAAAAAAAAATTTTTTTTATTTGTGGCTTACGCCACTGTTTCTGAGACCCTCAGTTACAAAAAAAAAATCAAAAAAAAATTGTATAAGATACATAATGGAAACGCAACAAGTGACAACACGTAACTGCAATTTTTCCAAAAATATTTTTTTTAAATAACTTTTATACTCATAACCGAAATTTCTGCTTTTTTATATATCAAAAATTTTTGATATTTGGGCTAATAAATATAAAAGTGAAATCTTGTATTATACATTTTGTATATATTTTATCTCGTATACAACTCGTAATATCATATGCGAGGTTTCACTCATTTTTATTTTTGAAAATGTGATTCCCCTATTGCATTTAATAGTTGTCACAATAATATTTTGTTTAAATATTGCGTACAAATGAATGTAGATGAGTTAAGTGCTTTATAAATAATTGTATTAATTAACAATACATATATTTTGTAGTGCACATAATAATTAAAAAAAGCAATAATAATTAAAAGTTCAAAGGAGAAAAAATACATGTGAATTTAGAAATACATATGAATTTATTCGGCGATATCTTCGTAAATGTATGAAGTTATTGAAGATGTACAGTAACTATAGATTTAAATTTGTATGAAGCACAAAATAATAACTTTAATATGTTATTTAAAAATGAAAATAAGTTTTGAAAGAACAAAATCTAATAACTGTAAATGAATATGAAAAAGATAAAACATTACTTTCATGGAAATTAGCGAAAATAATGGACGTTTTTCAACATAGTGTTGCTGGAATTGAAAATGAAACTCAATTTCATTACTTAGCATACACAACGAAGCAAATTCTCTAGACTTATTTGGAGATTCACAAACTTCAAGTGGGAAGCATATAATTTAGAAACCCCAAATGATATTAAAAATTTTGAATTAGCAATAGTTTAGACTACCTTTCAAACGAAAATAATAGTTTAGTACAAAAAAGGAGAAGATGAAATCCATCAAAAAGAAAAGATTTTATAAATAAGAAGAATCGAGAAAAAGGCAAAAAATATTTAGGCCGGCAAAACTAGACCAATAAAAAACAAAGAGGACCAAGAAATGTTAAGCGCTGAATTTGTTCCGAATCATTATCAAAAAGAAATATATCGTTAATATATAATATAAAAACTAAAAATTTTCGATTCGAAAAAGTATGTTTCCGTCGAATTTTTCCCTGAAAGAAACTCAGAGAGTTATCACATGAGTAAAAAATTCAAAAAATGTTAAATTACTCTAATAACGAAAACGAAAAATCAAACAAAAACCAAGAAAAAAGAAACAATTCTACAAAAATAATAGCTCAAAACGAATATTTAAAAAATTTTTTATAAACTCAGAAAGAAACCGTACCAACAAATTATATATAGAAAAGATATTTCGAAACAATATTTGCATGCAAGAGTTAATTTCAAGAGTATGAAAAAAAATGATGAAAATTATGCGTCAACTCCCTTATTTAAAAAAACTTTTACACGAATGTTTAAAAACTGACAAGGAGAAGGCAAATGCGTTTGCGGATCATTTGGCCGTATGACAGTCAGGGCGTGTATGAAAATGAGGAATCTGCTTTAATTGCTTTTATAAATCAGGACTCTAAACTTAAAAAGGCATCGGGATTTGACCTAATAACGGCCGATATTTTGAAAAAATTACCCAAAAGTGGTATAATGATGCTTACGCGGCTAATAAATGCGTGTATAAGGTTTAATTATGTGCCTGATATTTGGAAAGTTGCAGAGATAATCATGTTGTACAAACCTGGCAAACCTAGGGCGACTTCTTATAGACCAATCTCATTGTTGCCGATGATTTCAAACTGCTAGAGAAACTTTTATTGAGAAGACTTTAGCCTATTATTGAAAGTAAAAGGTTAATCCTGAGTCATCAATTTGGTTTTCGCTGAAACCACTCAGCCATAAATCAGATTCATAGAATAACTGACCTAATAGAAAATTCACTTGAAGAAAAAACAATATGTTCTATCATATTTTTATACGTAGCCCAGGCTTTCGATAATGTTTGGCATTGTGGATTAACAAAGCAGCTCAGGCGATTTCTACCAAGGCAGTATGTTGACCTGCTCGAATCTTACCTAACTAATAGGGTATTTCGAGTTAAACAGGAAGAGGAGTACTCTCCGCTTAGGGATATCAGGTCGGGTGTACCACAGGGGAGTATATTGGGCCCGATATTATACTTGTTATATACGTTCGATATTCCTGAATCGGAAGGAGTCACAACAGCTATATTTATACAGATTTATGCTGATGATACAGCAGTTATCGCAAGAGGAAGAAATGAAAATGAATCTGCACAAAAATTACAAAAGGCCAGTGATGAGATCTCAAAATGGACTAGAGATATAAAACTTAACAAGATGAAATCAGTACACGTGAGTTTTACTATAGGAAAATTGACAATTCATTTTCGGTTCGAATAAATGGCGTCTTGATTCCGTCCGCAAACAAGGCGAAGTATTTGCGAATGACGTTGGACGCAAAGCTCAGATGGAAGGAGCCCATAAAGAAAAAGAGATCTCAACTAAAGGAGGAATACAGGAAGTTTGAATGGCTTTTGGGAAGGCGTTCTAAGTTGACAATATACAACAAAGTTTTGATATGTAATCAAATATTTAAGCCTGTCTTAAGGTATTCAGTTATGGGGCTGCGCTGCGCAGACTCATATCCAATCTATTCAAAAATTTCAAAATAGGATATTACGGGACATTGTAAACGCCCCTTGGTATGTCCGCAATGCCGATATACACAGGGATCTCACGATCCTTGGTGTCACAGACGAAATTAAAAAACGAGCAGCCAATCATAAAATGCGTTTAACCAATCATGTCAACATCGAGGCGGCTCGATTGGTTGACAATCAAAACTTTGTTAGGAGACTAAAACGTACGAGACCTCTCGAGTTAGTTTGATGTTTTTTATCTGGAACAATGAGTACTTAGTACGCTATTATGCAAGATCAAAAGCTTGTAAATAATCAAAAAGCTTAGAGCAAAATTAATGGTTAGTCGTTTCCGACTAGTTTTATAGTTTATTTTGAGGAGGGTGTTTTTTAGTGGATTAAAGTTCCACATTACTGCTTTTCGTTTGGCAGTGCCTTTGGAGATTTGTCACCCTTCGTCTCGGTAAACAAAAAAAAAAACGAATGTTTAAGGATATGAATTTAGGATTTTCCATGCGCAAAAAGACAGGTGTGATATATGATACACATATTAAGAAAAACTTAAGCTATGGCAGAAAAATAACCTGATAAAATCCGAGGGGAAAAATGAGAATGCACATAAAAGTAATTATATATACACCACAAGGAATTCAAGTAAAAACATCTTTTAAAAATTAAACAGAAGGAGAATGGATCGATTTAAAACTAACTCGAACTAAATTTAGCGTTACTTAATTTAAATATTTTTGAAGTTTTGCACAATAACCCACTTAATATTAAAAATTAAATTAATATTTTTCTGTTTTATTATTTTGTTTTCTTGATTATTTATCATTTTTTGTTTTGTTGTTACTTAAGTTATAAATTACTCATTGAAATATAAGTTGAATTGATACAACTTTTAAATAAATAATCGTTATTTGTTAATAATAATTATTTATTAAAAAATACATAAATCATTAATATATTTTTCTATATAAGCAAATCAGATCAAAAAATTAAGTAAACCTAAATTCGTCTCTAAAACAAGGTCTTAATGATAACTCTATGTTGTATAGTTCTGCAGTTATAAGCGTTTATTTAAATGTAGGAAAAGTCCGGCACCCTTTTATCAACAGGCTTTTATTGAAAGCAACAAAAGTAAAACCTCGGTAATGAAAAAAGTCCGTTACATCAGATCCCGATTGAATTCTGAAAACCAAAAGCAAATCATGAAACCAAAAAAAATTGCTCAACTTAAAAAACTAAACCTCCGCCGGTAATAGTCAGTAATATAACTAATTGCACGCATTTAATAACGATACTCAAAGATGAAAGTATCGAAATGAAGGTAAGCATGATGAATAACGATCAACTAAATATAAATGTTGAAAATTAAAATGAATATAGACAATCGACTAAACTGTTAATAGGTCCAAATTTCAATGGCATACTTATGAAAATAAATTGACAAGGCCAATTAAAGTTATGGTCAGAAGCCTACATCTATCATGTGAGCCATAAGATATTAAGGGTGAACTTATCCAAAATGGATTCAAATCCGTAGATGTAATAAATAAAAAAAATTAAATTTAAAAAACTAAAGATATTGACAATGATGCAATGCAAAAACCAAAAAAAAGTTTACATTACTATAATGCAAATGATGCTACTGTCATGATATATAAAATTGCCGAAATCTCAGTGGAGATTAACTATTATGGAGAATAGATACTGACGTATATCCAGCAACCCCAAAGCGATTTCTGAAAGATGTAAGTAAATAACATACGAATTGAAAGTTTTTTCTAGCTAAAAATATCGATGTCTGAAACACATTTAGAGAAGGATTTGGATGTACTGGGTTATAGATGGCAACTGCGTTATAGATATAGGGCAACTCATCCTGGCAAATCCTGGAATCATATTGCAAGGTGACTATAATGCTATACATGTGCATTGGCATATTAATCTTTAGTAAGAAAAAGGTTAACGAACCGAACGGGGCTACTTTACTCAAAATCATGGATTGGGTAGACTTCAAACATAATGTTATTACAAATATAAATCTAAATGCTGAACTGCAGACAAGAAATTAATTAGATTCTGAAGTGGAGATTTTTATTCAGTTGATACAGAGGCCGCCTGGAAAAATACAATATTGTTTGAATTCAAACCTTTATCAAGTAATTATCTTATGTCTATAACTGATTTAATTGTACAAAAACAAGAACTAGACGTAAAAGGCAAAAGTCGCATCATCCAAGCTATAAAACGACTGTGAATAGACTTTCTCAAATACTTAAAAGAAAAATAAAAAATTTAATTCAGTATCATACGAAGATCATATAAACGGCTTATCAACAACTAAAGAAACCAATTATTCGTTGTGGAAGGCAACAAAGAGTACTAAGAAACCGATAAAGCGAATCCCTTCACTGAAAAAAAAAAACGATGGATCATCAGCAAATAGCCGAACTATTTGCTGATCACTTCAAAGAAATTTTTCAACCAAATGAACAGAAACTTCAGTGTTTGTTTAGTAGAAGATTTTGTTATGGATGAAAGCAAAAAAAAAAATTGCCAAGAAATTTTCCAAGCAATAAAGTCGCTTAAGTCACATAGGACCCTAAATTTTGATCTTATTACTGTTGAGATATTAAGGGATTTGCCGAGAAAGGCATTGACATTTTTGAAAAAAGTGATAAATGCGACAGTGAACCTAAAAATGTTCTAAGAGCCTGGAAAGTAGCGGAAGTTATTATGATAGGGAAACCGGAAAAACCCTTGAATGGCGCCAAGCCATATAGACCGATTTCGCCGACTTTTTGAAAAATTGTTGTTAACAAGGCGATGTTGATGCCGATAGCAGAGTGAGAAATTGATTCCACACCTCAGTTTGGTTTTAGGACAAAGCATGCAACAATTGACCAAGTACACACAATAACAAATATTGCGGAAAAGGCGTTAGAAGAAAGCCAAAAATGTTCGACAATATTTCTAGATGTAGCCCAGGTTTTTGATAAGGTTTGACACAACGCTTTAATATTTAAACTTAAGAAACTGATATCCTTGCAATTAGTGGAGATACTTGAATCATATTTACCTGACAGGCTTTTTAACGCGACGAGGAGTACTCCACGTTTAGCGAAATTGGGCCTAGTGTGTCTCAGACCAGTGTTCTGTGTCCTATATTATAAGTGCTTTATACAAGCTATTTCTCAGATTTTTAGTAAACCCACCACATTTGAATTCGAATGATGTTAAAGTATCAATTCAAAACACATCGAAATACCTACGTATGACTTTGAATTTCAAGCTCAGTTGGAAAGAATATGTAAAGAAAAGAATAGAAGTAGAAAATAAATATAAAGAAAACTATTAGCTCCTAGATCCTCATTGCACCAATCTAGACCTATGGGTAGGTCTAGATTGGTAAAATACTATTAGGTGTTGATACATAGCGAAATGATAAAACCTATGTGCACGAATGGCTTGTAGATATGGGGTCATGCCAAGCAAACACACATTAAACAAATACAAAATTTCCTGAACAAGGTTCTTCATAATATGGTGGGTGCTCTCTAGTATGTGCGCAATAGTAACATTCATAGGAATTTGAGCGTCCCCAAGTGTGACAGCACTTCCGTTCCTTTCATCCCGGAATATAGACACAAAAACATGATAGAGCAAAACTAATGGCTAGTCAGTTTGACTGATTTTGGGAGTTTATGACAATCCAGGTGCGCTTTAGGTTGTTACTATTGATACTTCTGATGACAGTTTGGGTCCGCCTATCTTTGTCTTTCGATGATTTCTAACACCTGTATTAAAAAAAGGAAAAACAAAATAATTTGAAACATCGTGTTAGGCGATGCTACATCTCCAAAACTCAGTATATGTATACATGTATGTATTTCTTGAACTCGTTTGTTTCGCTTACCCATTTATCATATACATATGTTGCAAATGAAGTAAAATAGTCAAATTTTTTTACGCACGTTATATTTTGCAAATATTTTTAAGTACATATCGCGTTCGAATAAAAAAAGATTCGATAAAAAAGTCGATAATAGGAAAATCGATTTTATTTCATTTAGAACATAATAAAAAAAAACGAATTACAAAAGAATATTTAGATTTTCATTAATAAAACACGTAAAACTAAGTGCAAATTTGAAGCAGTTTTTAAAATTTTTCTGAATTTCAAATTTTATGAGAGTTCTGAACTTCGATTCTACATAATGATATTAAACAAATGAGTTTAAATATTCTTTCATGTTAATATTATGTACTTACCCTTCACCTGATTCGTTTACAATTCGGAGCAAAAAATCAATAGAATTCATATTTAAAGGCTTCCACTTAAGTACTTCTTTAGATTGTCCAGCTGTATACTGATCGGCAGAAGGTTGGAATATTAATCCATCAGGTTCATGACACAATTTTGCAGCAAATTTTTCACTTAACAAGTATCCGGCTGTTGTAATGTCCCAAAATTCTTTATCTCGCAAACCAAATGGTTCTGTACTTCTGTTCGCTAAACCGTGATAGAAAGCTTTGTGTCTAGGAGCTAATGTTAATAATGTTAATAATTTAGGGTAAATATCAATTATTTTATATTAGCTTTACCAATTATTTCTTCTTTTATACAACGCACTCGATCAGGGTGGAAGGCAGAACTGCCAATATCTTCATTTTCAAATTTGATAATATCATAAACCAAATAGCGGGGTATAAAATCATTGTCCACTTTATCAATCACCATTTCCTAATATTAAACCGAAAATATGAAAGTAATTATAAGAAAAAAAAAATTGTGAGTTCTTATACATACACCATCTAACAATGTGTTTGTTAAATGCTCATTTAAATTATTTTTCCGCGGAAATGTGAGCTTATCAACTTGAAAGCAAGAGTTATTTCGGTCGAAAAAGTAAATTTCATCTCTAGCATTTATTAACATCATGTATCTAAATTTTGAAATAAAATTGTTTAAAATCATACACAGCAAAACACATTTTTACCTCGTTCCGTCTGCTTTCCAAGAAACTTTGTACGGTTTCAAATGTAAAAAATTAATATTTTCCATATCCATTGACACCGGCTGTGAACCCGGGAACCCCGACCCTTGCCAACCGCACATATCTTGCACTTTTCGCTGTAGTTCACTTAACTTGGGCTAAAAAATTTAAGAACTATTAAATTTTGTTTAAATTAATTAATTATATATCGCAGAGAAAACCTGCTCTAAGATTAAAGTCACACCACTGACGCCAGACATAAATTTGGCATCCCTCTTTACTTGTTCTCGCTTTCTTTTCTTTTTTAAAGGTTTCTGTTCAGTATTTGTAGAATCTCCTTTATTTTCAACAGCGAGATTTTCAGAAACAAGGTGACCATTTCCGATAATTTCATCATCTTCGTCTAGACATTTACTAGTACTAGGTAAATTTGGCAGAGAAAATGCAGTAGCATGATTTCTTTTGTTCGACTCTTCATAATTCATGCGAGTAGTATAATTACATTGTACTTTATCGTTTGATACATTAACATCTTCATGTTCGAAGCACCAGCTAGGAGTTTCTGGCGCAGGTGGTGTATCGACTTCGTCATCATATCTTCTATATAGTTCACGAATGTAGTCTTCTTTGTATATACCAGGAGGTCTGGCCTGGGCAAATACACTTAGTGCTGCATCAACTGGGCAATCTAACCTCTCCACCATATATGACACAATAAGAAATCCTAAAAGTACTCATTTCAATAATAATTTAAAAATTTAAGATTCAAAAATACCAGTTCTATTAAATCCATGCGTGCAGTGGACGCCAATTACATCAAAAGGACGATCATTAATGAAATCATCTACAATTTGTATAAAAGAAGTAGTTTGCTCTTTCGATGGTGTTTCATTATGCCCACGGCATTTTAATTTAACGTATTTTGCCCCCTTATTTTCTATAACTTCTTTATCATAATAACGTTTGGTATTCGTTAAATCTATCCAAAGACCAAGTTTCAGCTAAGATTAACAAGAAAACAGATAACTCTTAATTTATAATTTTTTAGAGAAATATTATTACATTTATAGTTTTTGTGTAACCAAAAATCATTTCCGGAGTAAAAACATATTGTATTGGAACTTTTTCCTTAAATTTTGAAGAAAGTGGTGTTTTAAAAGCTAAAAACTTTTCAGCTATAACTGATTCCGACTTGCGTGGACACTTCAACCAACGATTAGGAATAGGTCCAGGATCCGTTTCATTATAATTTGACATTTTCACTCTATTTTTTTCCTTTTTTTGATACAATTAAGAACATTAATGTACTTATACTTTTTTAAACCAATTTAATTAGAAAAGAAGAAAGTTAACACCAACTAAATTACACTGTTGTCAAAATTAGAATTGGTTATTTAGAATTTTTTCTAGCCAAATATCACTACATGTTGAATGTTCTTACACTGGGTACGCAGTAACATGAATGCGTTATTGTATTTAACGCATTGCGGAAATTCCGCAATGCGGAAAGCTAGGAATTGGAAGTTCGAACACGGTACTGTTCTCGGATTGCGAATTAGATAAATATACTTATCAAAATATGACACCAATTCCCGGTTCTTTCATGATGTACCAAAATGACTCTAAACCTTTTTTCTCTTGGCTCTCGAAAAATTAAATCTCCAAGCATCGCTACTTTTCAAATGTAAAAAGATGCAGTTAGCTTGTATTTTTTTTTTGTATGTTTTTATTATGTACATACAACAAATGAAATGCGTTGTGTAAAAATATATGTATGTCTTGTGCTAAAAAACTATATAACATTTAGTCCTACCATCAATTTCACTCGTAGAATTTTACGTAGTATGGACTTAGCTCTGACGTAGAAATTTGAGTCATCACCTTCGTTGAGATAGAAAATTGAAAAAACTTTAAGAAGTGAAAAAAATGACGTATCTTCTCACAAAAAAAAAATCTGATTCCAAAAAAAAAGTGATTGAGACGCAAAAGTTGATAAAACTTTGGAAAACTTTATAAAATACTTAATAAATGTCAAATTTCCAAATATTCATCAAACATAAACAGTACATACATAAGAACAACTTATGCTTTGATTACTAAAACCAAAGTATATCTACTAATAAATAGTTCGACTCTCCGTTTACACCACACTAATGCAATTCCTCACCAACATTTGTATACAAAAAATTCCCTTAGTTAAAAGAGTTCTTATTTTCATTTTTATACATAAGAATTTTTGGAAGAGGGAAAAAGTACGCAATGTCAACCTGTGATGTTAACCTGTTTTTTTATAATGTATTTTATATTTTTTTTATAATGTAAGAAAGGCGACACTTTATTATTTGCTCGTATATAAAGTATAGGGAAAGATGTTAAGAATTTTTGTAATTCATTCCAGTACAAGGTGGAAAAAAATGTGTATTATATTATAAAAGCGAAGAAAAAAAAAGTGTTTAAAAAAATTATTGTAATTTATATAATATAATTTTTAAAAATAATAAAAATAAATTTTGAAAGAACGTACAATATTAAAAAAAAATTTAAATAGTTGTGAAAAAAACTATACTTTTTTTATAAAAATGGGTTAACATTATTTGAAGTGTTTGGGATGAAAAAAATTTTATGTTTATTTCAATCTTAATAAATTTAGAACATATTTCCCATGAATCGGTAATAATTATATTTCATAAAGTATTAATCAGTATGCATATTTATTATAAATTACTTTATTATAAATTCTTTATAAATTACTTTATTTCTATGTCACTACCTGATACTGTGTAGTGTGTATAAAAAGTAAAGTTTTTTTTTCATCGAAGAAAGGAGGAAAGCATGAATGCTACCAACATGCCATTCCCTGGCAACCCATAGTTAGTTATGTGTTTTACCACAAAAACCTCCTCCTTATATTCTGGTAGCAGTCCCATTAGACCAACCATCAAATTTTCTTTAATATAGATTGAAGAAGATTCAACGCTCCCAAATTTGGTGAAGCGAATTTTGCGCTTAATTAGAAGGCAAAGTCCTCTTTATCCTCCTGGGAGAATCCCAAATAACAAGGCCTCTAGTGAAGTTCCAGGACACAGCCAAATGCACGTTGGGATAGCTGATAGCCGATTCCCAAACCAGTGGCGGATGACATGCACTGCAGGTCGTCCTCAACGTCATCAGCTCATCTTACTTCAAATATACTTGGCTTTCATTCGTTAGAGTTTATTTAATCAATATGTGGTCGTGTATGTGTTCATTTGCCTTTGATAGTGAACTTACATAGAGAATGGTGAGACCATTAGTTATCACTTTTGGTTCTGCATATTAGATTGCTTCGATTTCATTAGAATATGGTAACGTGCTAACTTCTCTCAATATGTTAAGAATTTCGCCGCTACTAAGTAAATTTGTACTCACAATCTTCTTTTTCGCAAACTCTATAGCGAGAATGATAAACGAAAGCGTTAATTGCCTCTTTGATTATTACAAGGTTATTAAATACCACCTGTTCGAATCTGTGATCGCTGATCGAATCCGATTGCTTTAGTATCTGATAGACCTTCACGATCTTCCAGCTGCTCTAAATTTAGTCATGTAGTTCATTATTTAGTCAACTTGATATTGTAGCTGCCATTTGATAGCAGTCGATTTTAATTTATAAGATTTCGTTACTAATATCAACTCTTGTAAGATTTCGTCGTATTTTCTTCGGTTTATAGAGTGGATCAAGTTAAAAGTTCCATTCAGTATGCAAGCTTCTTCTAATTTAGGCGTTGCTGTCGTGTCTGTCACCTCAAATATTTTCAGTGAAGAAGAATTTTGTTTAGGGAAGTTTTCTATTTTCTATATGGGATTTATGAATCCGCTTTTCCGATATTATGCTGATAGTAGTTTTGTTATTATTTAACAATGATTGGTCTTCATAGATGGGTTTGTGTTTGGATTTAATCTGTTTGTCCTTCAGATAGACAACCAACCCTTACTTATAGTCATTAGGTTTAGTTATTTTTGATTTTCCCGATTTAGTTTTATCTACCTAAACCGTTGAATTTGTTGTGTCAGATTATTATGCACCTTTTTTCCGACATTAATTAAATTCTGATAATTTACAGAAGAATTTAAAGAATTTGGAAAATTCGTCTATGCACGTAATGTATGTGTCACCTTGTATTTTCATTGTGTCAAAATGAAGTATCTGAGTAGAACATTTAGGAATAGGCATGTGTTGAGCACGGTGAGGATGTCTAATTTTTATTACAGTTGTAAATTTCACACAATTTGATATATTCCTTGATGAGTCTATTCATGCATGGGAAATAGTTCATCTCCATTATCTGCTCCCAGTTCTCCGTCGAACTTCGGTGTGGTTTTTTATGTTCCTTTTTAATGGTGTTAAGCTGTCCACCATTCGCGACGTCTTCTACCATCCTTTGGGTGATTTTAAATTTAAAATTGCTGAAGCATTCCCTGGAAACTTCATTGAGCATACTCAGGTATTCTTCTGGAATTTTTATCCCGTTTATGACAGTAGGATTGAGTCTTTGCTTTAGGGGAGTTGTGAGTTCTTGGCATATTATATTTGGCATTCCGATAACAAATCTACGAATCCGGAATGAGGCTCCTCGTAGATTGTGATGTCTTTCCTATATTTGATGATTATTTGCGTTTTGAAGACATTGATCGGGGCTTTGCAATGCCGAATGAAATCGCAAGTTTCCAAGCGCCAATAGGATGGCTAGCATTTCCTTCTCATTGCCAGCATAGCCCTCCTCTGTCTTGTTTAGTGATCTTCAGATATATCCAATAGACCTATTAGTAAAATCGCTAAATGCCTTAAGTTTTAAATCACTCAGCTGAATTTCTATCTTTTTGGGCTGATTGGCTTTTACTTGCGCATTGACATCTCTTGTTAAATTGGTAAGAGATTTTGCAATTTTGGCAAAGTCTTTATAAGCCTCCTGTAATAAGATGTTGGTTCCAGGAAACATCTTAATTCGTTTAGATTTGTTGGTAGTTTAATATTTCGAATGGCTTCGACCTTTTCGGCATCTGGTTTTATTCTCTGAATGATAATCAGATGGCTAAGAAATTCCACTTCTGTCTTGAAGAAATGAGTTTTATCCAAGTTTACTTAGAAGTTTGCTTTTTACAAGGTCGAAAGCATCTCTTCGATATTTGGCAGATGATCTTCCTTAGTTCTTTCGAACATTTTTACGTCATCAATGTAGACGAAGCTGCGCATGCCTATGACTTTTTTCAGCACGTCGTCGTTCATTCGTTTAAAAATACCAGGTGCGTTCCGCAGCACAAGCGGAGGTCTAGTTAATTGGTATTTCCCGTTCATAGTTAAAGTACACGCTGTTTTTGGTATGTTTTTTTCTGCCATTTTGATTTTATGAAATCCGGAGATGAAGTGAATAGTTGTGAAGAATTTAGCTTTTGCCAAGCTTTGAAACGTGTTGGAGATGTCAGGGAACGAGGAACTATCAGGTATAGTTACACCGTTAAGTCTCTTGAAATCGATTGCAATTCTATATTTTTTGGTATCTGATGAATCGGGTTTCTTCGCGATTTTCCAAATAGGTGAGTTGAACGAACTTCTTGAGAGACGGATAACGCTATCCTCTAGCGGATTTTTTATTTGAACATCTACTTTCTTCCTCACATTGGCTAGATATAAGTATGATTTAATGCACATTAGTTCGTCCGTATTGGTTTTTATTTCAGCTTCGACTTGAATATCTATGATCTCGCAATCATTAATTGTTCCAAATACCTTACTATGGTTATTGAGGATTGTTGAGGAAATACCTTACTATGGTTTTAAGGTCTTCCAGTATGTGATCAGTCGGTGCATGATATTGTGGTGGTTGCTATTGGTGTGGATATTTATGATGTGGTTAAAATTAGTGTGAGGGACTGCTCTTCGGTTTGTGTATTTTATTAATGTGTACAGACATCCTCTTAATGTTGCTGTTTTGGTGAATTTATATATTTCTGAGGTTCAAATTCTGGATCTCCAAGCAAAATGCATATGCCTTCGGTAATGTTTGACTCTGTATCATTAGCATCTTAGTATCCGAGAGTACAGACGTCCCTCTTGTCTGCGTGGTGCATCGAAAGGCCTTCCTTAATTGTTAGCCAATCCTCATCGTAAATCCTATATGATATTAACGCTAGATCAGCCTTTTCTATGATTTTCTGCCTGATTCGATTCAAAACAATTCGGTATATTGGATTGACTAGACCATCTCATAGTCACGCAAAATACTTTCTTCAGAATACACCCAAGATATATATTGTACCGGGTCACCTTCAAAGCATTGAAGCTCCTTGATCTTGTCAGGAAATCTACTTATTTTCTTCATTCCGTCTACTGTTTTAGATACTGTTAAGCTTTTTTGATCTTCCAGTTGACCTCTGGTGGCTCTGGCGACCTTCCAGTTCACTCCTGGTG